AAGAGATGAGGCACGCTTTCCGATGGGAAGCCTACCTGATCAGGACCGGCCCGGACCCGGCCCGGTCCTGATCAGGTAGGCTTCCCATCGGGCCGTGTCCGGGTCGTGTAAGGTAAAGGTGTAAGGCTAAGAGACAGCGGGCCCGGGCCGGGCCTCAAAGTGTGGGCTCGTGCAGTGCTCTGGTTTAGACACAACGATAAAATATAATCAAGGTCGTGGATTATTGAAGGCACACACTCAATATTAAAAAGAAAAAAAGATACCCTTTTTTTGTGGCTTCTAAAACGCTGCAAATAAATAAACTAAAACATTTTTGTTTTCCTTTGTTTACTGCCACGTGATATTTGGCAACTATCCTCCATATTTCTTAGCCAGTTTCGGTTTCGAGCTGTTTCGTTTTTTTTTTGTTTTTTTTTTACTTTATTAATATATGCGACGCTGTAACGAAATATTGATTGGCTAGTCTTCTGACACCAGAATAAATCGCCTGACAAAAAAACAAACAAACAAATATATATTTTAAGGGGTGTCAATGCTTATAAATTATAATGTACTTTAAAGGGGCACTTAAGCCGATTCTAAGATCGTTCTTTTGTGGTGACAACTCAATCTAGACGCCCTAAGCATCCCGACAAACCCAAAATCACAAGTGAAGCGGTCGACGAAGGGCGCTTGTCGGCGAGCTGCAGGCGATGGCTTCGCCCGCGGAGAAAAAGATGAGTCTTATCCGAATGTGCACCTATCAGACTATCCTCGAAACGAGTTATAAAAATCATTAGGAATCGCGTACTGTACGGCTTTCATTGGTCCACATAATGTAGTCTGCGAGAAAAAAAAGTACGCGTTTTTCTATTGCCCCGAGATGAATATGGGGTTTTGTAATTTAGGACCTCGTATATGAGGGAAGGAACTAACACATTTTAAACAATATAAGATCAAAAACGGCCTTTTTCAAAAATGACTTCGGTGCCCCTTTAATACTTCTCACCAGTGCTGAATTTAGATACTAGATAGGATACTGGAAAAGTTAATAAGAAATTATAGTTAGCTTGGGTAGATAATCACCGGAGGGGCTGCATACTTTTTGTATGTTCAATTTGGCTGAAAATTGACAGACCGACGCAAGTCCTTTCGGGACTTGCGTTGGTCCATGGCCAGTGGGCAAACCGAGTTATGGAATTTTTATATTACGCCGGTCATGGAAGTTTAAGCAGGCGACCCCACTGGCGACATTAAAAAAATACTTCCTTTCCCTTACCCATGTACCAGGCACGTAGCCAGGTTTTTGTTTCGAGGGGGCCCGCCCATGACAAAATGCTGTATGAGGGGGAGGGGGTAGAGGAGGTCCCAACAAAATGCAAGATTTCAGGGAAGGCTCGGGCCCCATGCCTCCTCCCCCCCCCCTTTCCCCCCCTGGCTACGTGCCTGCCATGTACAGGGTGCGGTCGTAAGGCCTAACAGATTTATTATGTCTTGCAAAATTCTAATTCCACGAGTACACATACCTGAAATTGTTCATGTGAATGAAGTGATTTTTTTTTTCTTGTTAAAGCTCAATCCTGGAGTGCGAAACACATGCGCGTCAAAACTGTCCGATCCGACGTGCGAACTGCCGGAACGACGTTGGGGGGCGAGGGTTTTCGTAGCTACGGAGCGCGTCGAAAACCCTCGCCTCCAACGTCGTTTCAGCAGTTCGCACGTCGGATCGGACAGTTTTGACGCGCATGTGTTTCGCGCTTGAGGTAGAGAAATATTAAAACACGCCCAAGACATCTAAATGGGTCATGAAACGATTTTTCAACGTTTTACTTCTTAGCTTTGCTCAACTCACAAATCCCACAATGTACCAAACAGTTGAAGTAGCCAGACAGAAAGGAGGGACTCCCCTCATGCTCGGACCCTCGTTTGTGCACCCAGACACGGCCATTCTCCCCCTAGATCAGCCCGTCGCTCAAAACTGGAACAAAACTTGCTTTCTTTACTCCGTTCACCCCTAAGCTGTGGAAGCTACGTGCTCGTTGGGTCAGTCACACTTTTGCCACGTGATCACGCTCTTTCGCGCAGAGAATGAGGTCAGGTGATGAAACGGAGGCGACTGATTGGTCCGGCAAGCGCATGATTCCACAGCACTGTCAGCTTAGGAGTGAAGGGAATAAGTGATGTACGGTGCCGTGTGTTTGGGCCGGGTGACGCGCTTTGGGTACCGCGGATGTATCACAGTGAAAAAAGGCAGAGAGCTTACAAAGGGAAGGAAGTACGAAATAGTCCGCCGTGTTTTCAAATTTCAGTACCGAAAATCAGGCTTTTGACATTCTACCTTCTTTATTTAGGCTCACTAAACGATATGCTATTAGTAAAATGCCAATCTAAATTCATTTGTCCCAGACAAAAATTCGTTTCATGGGCCAAAAGCAAACAAACATTATAGTCCTGCGGGTGAAATGTTTTGCTGCGGCGGTGACATCACGCTCCCACGGCACAGGCGCGGCGCCCCCGCTGGCTTCACGGCTCCCGTGACGAAGCACCTGCGTTGGTATGCTTGTCTGTATTTTATTTCTGAGGCGCGTCTGCTTTGACCTTGAGCGGCGCGTGCTTGATGACGAATTTTTATGGCCACCTTTCGGGCACGACGCCTTTTCCCGTAATGGGACATATAAGGCTTTCGCCTCAAAAAGAAAGCAAAATCGGAGGGTGTGTGTTTACTATGTCCTCTACCAGCCTGTTCGTCGTCTGCACAATGGCTTGTAAGATCTAAGCTCGCTCCCGGACTTGCTGAACGCAAAAACGCTAAAAACCAATCACAGAAGCTGGCGATGAGCAAGATAATTGCAATAATTAATACTTCGAACGAAATTTATGAACAATGACCACCTGGGAGCAAGCTCACAAACCATCGAGCTCTAAGACAAAACTTCTTGCGGAACTATGTTCGCTTTAGGTATGACACGTTTGGAATTCCAATTTTGCAAGGCGCACCAAGTCTGTAAGTCCTTACAGCCACACCCTTTATGCCACTGGCAGGGCAGACAGGCGACCTGAGAAGTTGCTTTCCGGGTCGCCAGCGATCAACATTTTTTTTCCATTACCTCAAGGTTAAAAGTTCCTATGCAATGGGTAGCACTCTGCTCCTCGGTAGATTTCACAGTGCGACTGCATAAGTTACAAGCACCCAATCTACAGGAACAGCATGAACGCTTGAGCAGTGGAAACACCTGTCGCAGATTGGGTGCTTTCATGTGCGCTTTGCAGCCTTAGAGTCTTTGTAGTACCCGATGCACAAAGCACGCGCTCTTGAGAAACATATAAAGGAATACATGCCGCTGTAGCACTCTCAATGCCAGGAGCTTGTGCCGGCAGACGCGTATGCTCCATGTCAAGCATAAAAAAAAAAAAAAAGCGTCCGCTTCTTGTGCGTTTTTAACTGCCAAATGCACCCACGTGTTTTTATTTTTTACCCCCAACCTCAACCAGTGACGACACGCGCTTGACTGCCTCGTCATGGCGTATTCCCTGCGTGTTTGCTCTGTTGCCCCTCGATTGGCGTGCCCCTCCCAGCATTCTCGTGTGCCAGATGCTTGCTTCCCGCATAGCTTGCATCTGTGCAATGCCAGAAAGCACAAGTCTGGAATTGAGGCACTATTTAGAGTGGGAATGCCAGAGCGCGACCTTTGATACATGCTGCTCTACCTCGAGGGTGATACAACAGTAGTGAACATGGGAGGGCGGCGAGGGTGTGCACATCGGAGTAAGCACTCTCGCAGCCCCGTCGCCACTCGTTTCATGAGCCTCAGCCTTCATGTGCATGAAGGCACCCTAGGTAGCCAAGCATGTCTAGGGCCTACTGCTCAGTGTTCCTGCTCATGCTGTTTGCAGGTACCCCCATGGACAATACGAGCTGGAACACCTGATCGAGCTTTTTTCTGCGTCTGCAATCCCCAAAAAGCTGTACAGCTTGCCAGTTAGTTCAACGTATTGGAACCCATTTCCTGTTCATTCCTAGCTGGGACCACTCTCTCAAAAACTGGCAGGTATGCCAGAGCATGGAGCGTTTCAGCTAGTATTTCCAAGGTAGTCTGCAGTTTATAACCTGTGAATGATAGCGGTGGTCTGCCTCGGACAGGATACCACCACTTTCAAGACTAACTGCACTACAAGACTGTTGTGCAATGGTCCCTGGAAGCAGAGCAGCAATTGAGAAAGCGTATACGTACATTCCTGCAGGGTCCAGAGCTGTAGGCACAGGTTGTCTGTACATCAACTCTGGTGTACACTGGTACAGCCAACTTGGAATGGACAGCCGATTGTATGACGTCATCAAGTAAACTACCTGGTACTTGAAAAGCAAAATGAAAACTCTTGTTCAGATATTCCTCAGTGTGGTGTTTGTGCGGCAGTCATTAACCTTTTCTGTGCTAAACTATTTGTAGGTAAAGAACGTGTCAGTAGTTGCAACCCAATAATCACCTGGAGCCACAAAACTAGCCCCCATTTTGGTTATTTTGAGGCAAGATGGCTGTAGCAAATTTTGCATTTTCAAACTGACTAGAGGCTCCTCTTAATCAGCAGTTCAATAACTACAAAGGTAACAAGTGCTAGCTGCTAGCACCAGAAATTGCCAGCACATATTACTTTGCTCCCCACACGACTCTCCTTGAAGGCTGGAGCAAGAACTGGGGCCCTAATCTGGACACTTGGCGGAAAAGTCGGCGGCTATGATTGGCCGACGCCAAGGTCAAGTGTGGCATTGGCCAATCGCGGCCGCCAGATTTCTCGCCGTCGTTTTCGCCAAGCGTCCAGCTTAGGGCCCCTGGTGCCAGTCTGTTAAAAACTGGGAGAAATTAAACTTGGACAATTCAAAATTACAATCCGAGCACTTCAGCATGCTCAAACGTTTAACCGTTTTTACTTATGGTGCACATGTAGTTTTTGGGACCTCAATTGCATCCTTCAACTATGCATCGATAGCACCCAGGTGGGTGAAAAAAACATGGTAATGCGTCTATTGTATACATGTTTTATTGGTCACAAGAGCAAAAACTTCACTGACCAGCACCATTTGTACAAGTTACGCAACAAAAATGTTTTTTTTTTTGTGTGTGTGAAATGAGACAAAAAGCATATACTGAAACAAAGGGCATTGCACACATGCTTCTTACACATAGGAGCCAAGGTTTTCAGCTATGATAAGACAAGCCTGGGCAATGTCCCAAATGGCCAATAACACCGCAAGAAAAAGTTAAAGTGGGATGACGTGTACATTAACCATTTAATTCAGACGAACTCAAATACAGTCGTGCCTTGTTAATATGGATTTCTAGCAGTATGGACAAAACAATATAGCATGAATTCCTTCCACCTGACATACTAAAATCACATTACTATGAAGAGTTCCAGCTTTGGGAATAGAGAATGACGCACGCTCGTTATAATGCACATTGAAGGGGATGGTTTGGTGGACTATCTGGAGACTGGACATACAGGATGACGCCATACAACATCACTCGTCACAAGTGCTTTGTTCTCGCAAAGCGTAGCACAATGCCAGGCTGCTCTACTTACAGCTGACTTTAGCACAAAGGACAGGACTGTCCACCTCCTGTGAAAAATGTCTCGCTATGACCCTAGATAAAGAAACAAACTGTTGGCTCGCCCGAAGAAATTTGTACATTCAAATGAGAAAGGGATTGGCGAGTTGGGGAAATCACTAAAAGCAACCATGTTCCTTAAAGGCCAGATCCAAGCAGACGTGCGTGCCAACAAGTACCCCACCAAGCAAGCAGCCGCACCATGTCAGAAGTTGTGCAGGATACAAAAACAAACAGCCATCCTTTTCAAGGTATTGCATAAATAATGGCACAAATCCCGGGCCCTTTGACATGCACAGTGCAAGATAGTGCACAGAAACAAGTCTCTCGAACTGTCTGCTGCGACTGCTTTGCGGAAATCCATAGGGCCAGTGGGCAAGAGGGTGGGCTATCGGGCTCCAGCACAAAACTCCAGCTTTCTTCCAAAATGGAGCCAGGGAAGCCTCAAAGACGCACAAGGTGATAATGCAAAATGTACAGCGATGCAAAAAGAAAGACACCTGCTTGAATATAAGTGATGACCACCATATAATATTGAGGTCAATGCTGCCACTTTCCTTCTTGCAGGGGGGGGGGGGGGGGGGAGTAACAGCAGTTGCCAAAAATGGTCTTTGACATTTGTTCAGCCAAAATTTGTTCCACTCGCAGGAAGACTGCCAGATGAAGGCAGTCACATGCACAACAGCACAACCTTAGTCTGCTCAAACCGATTAATAAGAACTCATCTAGCTGGACGCAAATTCATAATTAGGGTTCCGTGTTTTCCTCAAATACCGATAAACCCCCAAATTTAATCCACCCGAGCCAGTTTTATTGAAAATAAAGGAAAACCTAAAAACCCAAAATTCGAGCTCTCCTCGAATACGAAAAACCACACCTTCCTGGGTGTACAACTCCATTTTGTGCCAATCGGGAACATAGCCTCGACCGAACTGTCACCGAGGCAGCTGCCTTTTCGGAACCACACCCCCGTTTCCTTCTCTTATTGGTACTGGGTCACTTTCAAAGTATTCGGGTGCACGCATGTTACCTGCAGGTTGAGGAATCCCATGCCCTATTTTTGCCCACAAGAGCCTTGACAAACAACCTTATGTAGAAAAAACACATCTTGGAATTTGCAGAAAAATAGAAAACACGGAAGCCTATTTATAATGAAGTTCAGCCCAAACAAGTGCCCACACATGGTTTAATCGGAACTACCTCCCAATTTTCTTTGGGTATTACTCGGACATTTTCAAACTCTTAAAGCAAATTTTTAGCAAGTATCAGTGTTGCTAAAAACCACTTTGGATGCGCACTCCCACAATGCATTCCCATGTCCTTCAAAACAAAGTGAGAACTTCCCTTAAAAGAAGAGCTACTGTAAATTTCTTAACACAAAAGATGTCCTGAACACACGATAGCTAGAAACTCTGTTTCACCCTAAACGGACATTATGGCCAACCAAGCAATCCAGTGGCAAATGTGTGCCACCTCATAACCAGGCACACAGTTAAGCTGCACATTCTCAGTGCAAGACTGGCTCAGACAGCTTGTAGCACTTGCCAGGATTCATTCAAGGTGGGACAGAGCATACATACATCACAAGTTCAATATAGCAAAGCCCAACTTCCCACAATAGTGTTCATTACAAAGACAAAAGCTTGAAATGATAAATGTTTTCATGTACTGACCTGGCATAATGTAAAAAGCCGGGTTGCTTTCGAGGTAAACCTGTAGCAACTGCTCATTTTATGTGTTAGCACAGGTGAAGATCATTTTACCACTAGAAACTGCCTGCATGGCATCAGTCTGCCAATATTACCCACATTGTATTCAGTGGAGCTTCAAATGGATGACACTAAAGTCCACAACCTTCAATAAGCTTATCAACGATACGTGTGAGGCAATTCCTGAACACGCGACATACTGGCAATGTTAGACAATAGATAAAAACCAGCTAGCACATGAGCACATTTCCTCTTCAGTGGGGCAACCTACCAGCCTCATTAGAGCAGAGATAGTACAAGTCTACAGGCAAGAAGGAATTTTTATACCTATTTGAGAAACGCCTAACCGAGCGCGAGAAATGCACCCCATGACAAAGTTTGTGGGAAGTCAGGCATTACTCCACCAAACCAGCTAGCCCTCGAAAGGCTTGCACACCAACTGTTCTCTCAACGAGTGTTCATACTAACGAGGCACGACTGCAGTCTGTTTCTGATGGATACCCACAGATTGTGGCAAAATGCTGCACTTGTCCTAAGATAACCAGATGAGTACAGCCAGAAAGAACAAAATCAACACACATGCACAAGGCTAGTGAAAAAAAAAGAAAAAAAAAAAAAAGAAGATGAGTACAACGTTTCGGCCAGACAACCTTCTGCACACCTAGTCCTTGTGCATGTGCATTGTCAAATGAACTCAAATCTCCCCTCCGAGACTTGACGCATATTGATGCCTTGTTTTGAAACGGCTCCAGTGCAAACTCAATGTGCAAAAAGTTTCCAAAAGATTATAAAGAGTAACATAAAAAGCGGCGACTTAAAAACTCACACTACATAGCAAGCCGAGGAAGATTTCAAAATGACTGGTACCAGTAAGTACGATCAGCCATCAACAAAAATGTATGTGTGCCTCGAGAATGGTTTACAGAAGAAAATGTGTACACAGTGCAGTTCACCTACGACGTCGACATCAACAGACCCTCCCAATTCAATTGGGGCAGACCGCCCAAGCGCAGCCTCCCAAATGGAAAACAAATGTCGACAGCAGCCTAGAACGCCTCCCGGCGGGCGCAAGTGAACTGCACTGCGTCCAGACGCCTATGCTTACAAAAGAAGAAGCGGCGGCTCCCCCAAGCAGCACCCAGCGCAAGCTCCGAGCGGCAAGCCACAGGGCCCCGGAGCGGCCGGGCAAGCGCCAAGAAGGGACCGAGCGTTAAAAGGTGCCAAGTTTTATTTGGGACTGCCACCCATCAAATGTTAATGCACACATGAACGTGGAAGGAATGGAGCCTAAAGCAGCCAACTAAAAGAGCCTACCTAGGAGGGGAAACAGAAGCACACAAGAGCTAGACAGGAGGAATGAAGGTCGTAGGAGGGGCCCCTGGAATGATATGTCAGTGCACCTCCGAGCTCTCGGGCTTGGGGGCCAGGTGGTTGGCCGAGTCCTGCAGGTGCGAGGTCGAGTGCGGCACGCCGGGTGCCAGCGGCTCCAGCGCTGTCGTAGAGTGTGGCACCCCCATGGGGTTGTAGTTGTAGGCGCCCCCGTTGATGCCGTCCCCATAGCCGACAAAGTACTCCTTGTTGACGCAGTTGCGCAGCGAGTCTGGGATGCGCCCCACTATTGCCCGCCGGATCTCCGTGGCCGCCATCTCGCGCAACTCTGTGCAGCTGGCGTCGCTGTACCAGGCCGCGTGCGGTGTGCAGATCAGGTTGGGGGCCTCCTTCAGGGGGCCTGCACACACGGGCCCACACTCACTCCCCGGGACACTGCCTGTCCCACCACACTTCCGGGAAGACATCAAAACTCGCCTGCAAAACCACTTCACATACGGTCCCAACAGGAAAGAAAATTACCCCCCCCCGACTGTTGCCTGGACATACAGGATGATGCCATACGAAACCCCCAGTCGGAGGTGGCAGAGCTAGCAGGAGTTGGCTGCCCTGAATCAGACACTAAAAGAACTCAAGGACTATATGGCGAGAAACTGAGGGAGAGCAGATGAGCCAAGTCAAGCTACCTTTGTTTCTACTTGCTGTTGAAACGCATTGCAAACTTGAGTAGAGACGAGGGAAGCTAGCTTTTGCACCTACCTGCTCATCATTGCACCAGAGCTTGGCGTGCACTCTTGATCTCCTCCTCTCCCTCCACCGTATAACAGGGTTTCTTAAAAATGACTAAAGCTTAAAACTCAAGATCCGTAACACGGATGCACCTTTGGTAGAACGTTCACAAATGGACACAAGCTTACATGTTCAAACTAAACAAACATGCCAAAATATAGAAACAGTACAACAACGTACAAAGTGATGTGCACAGCAGCAAAAGGCATGATTTGTAAAGAATTATTGCTCAATGTGATCCGTCCTTGCATTGAAGCTCCTTGATACCAATAATACTCTCTTGGTGCCCAAAACAAGCTTCCAGGTGATTGCAAGAGTAAATTGGTCATTTGTAAATGATTGAGTTACAAATCATCACTTGATTGCCTAGGTTAGGGATCGGCAAACCGCGGCCACCAGCAAAGCCACCCCTGCCACTTCCTCGGAGATTGAAGGACCATATGGCAGTTTTGACCTCAGATGGGGTTAGACACAAACAAGGAATCGGCATTGTTCGGCATCCCAATACTTGGGCAGAGAATGTCTTCACTTCCTTTTCGCCTCTTTCTTAACACATTAACTGGTCACTGCTTGACTAAGACAAGCTTGATGAATCATAGTCCATTATTTCCCACGGATGATTGCAATGGCCTTCCGACTGCTTCTGACGCTGGGAGAAACGGGCTCAAGCTGCCGATGTGCTGATGTTAACGTACGACATCACAAGATGGCAGACCAGTAAAGATGCAGGTCTGTTTGGTTATGTTGTATTACTACCATTAAAAACTATTTAAACATTTTTGGGGAATTTACTTGCTGCTCTAGGCTCAGTTTCCTGTGCTCTTTCAGAAATTATGTCTACTTGAAAACATTCAAATTGACGCCGGAGCTCCCGTTTAAGGGGGGACACTACCCAGAAAAAACAATTTCTGCAAAAAAAGCTGATTTTAGAAAATGTCATATTTACAACCAACAACATCTAGAGAGTATTCCCAGAACGTTTCATTAGTTTACACTACATAGTTAATTTTTTATAATTTTTTTTCGGTCTACCGATGCTAAAGAAAAGGTAGGGGTTGGAACACTTTGAACACATTTTTCTCCATTCCACTTTTTGGCATAAATTTCACTTTAGGAAAACTATTGTTTTTTTATTATGTAACTTGGATTCATTTTTATGAGATTTTCTAGGGTGTGAAGATAGCTATGAGCTTGTATTTCTTATTTTTGTCAATTTCCATGCTCAAGAACTCAAATTTTGGACAAAAGATGGAAATCTAAAAAACAGCATTTATGTTTATGTGACTTTTTTGTCATAAAAGATGAACTGTCCTAAAGCAGTATAACACATAGCACAACAAATTTATACATAATTTCAAAACGATAGTTTTCCTATGCAAACACGCCCACTTTCATCTTTAAACATTTGCAATTTTTTTTCATACTTTACCCAGGTTAACAAAATTTTGCACAAATGTTCTCAACATGAACAGAAACAAGCCCTGTAAATGTCATTAAATGATACAAGTGGTTCAAGAATTAACTTTTTTGGGTAGTGTCCCCCCCTTTAGGGCTCATGACGACAATGTTATGAAAGGTAAGTGGGATGCCCCCAACCACACTTCTGTCCGAGCTTCTTTAATCCCTTCCAGGAAAGGTTTCCACATTGCTTCGGCTAACCTTGCATGGATGGCCATAGTATGCTGAACCGTCAACAGTGTTTTGGTCTCCCTCACGAAAGCAAGCCATAAAGACCAAACCCCACCTCCCTTACGAGGGCTTTAACTCCCGGCAACTAGAGGGCATCAAAGCACATGCTTCAATGGCGTTCCAAGGCAACACCGATGTTGTCCAAGGTCGGCGTTTTCATGTGTGCCCCTCAGTGGTTGTAAAAGCAAGATCTTGGTGCTCCCGGAAATGACCACTTATGCGCCCATTACAGGCTTTCCCACTCAGAATAATCCAAGTGCCAGCTTTTTTTAATCCTACTGTCCCTGAATGTCATCCTGCTATATATCAATTTAAGCCAAGTTTCAATGAATTTAGTCCAAGTTGTCAACAATTTAATCCCAACGCCATTCAGTTTAAAGAAGCTGTGCAACAATTTTAACGTTGAAAAAATTTGCATCTCCTTTTGTCACTGTTTATCTTGTCAAAAAGGACAAAAAACACATCTCCTTCCTTCAAAATGTTGCGATTTCGACGCATAATCGCGAGGCAAAAATTGAAATATTTCCCGACCTGCAGCCGCGAGCGGCAGCCATGAGAAACACGCGGCATGACGTCAATGGGGAACTTGTAAAACAACAGGAAGTTGTGCAAATACCTGCTCGATAGAAGGTAATTTTTCTATAAATCTTGTCATTCCAACATAAATATAAATGCGTCAAAAACCTGGTATCATCGACAAAACTATTATATAGAGTTTTAGTGGCGACATCTATCCTAGGTCCACAAAAACGTCAGCTCCATCTGCTACTGCGAACAGCTGCCAGAAGCCGGACGGGGATGGCTGGACCAGACGAGACTTTCCTCCTTTTGCAATGTTGATCGTGCTGCGCAAGCATGTGGGTGAGTGGGTGAGTTCTCGCTGCTCACCGATGGCTCTAGACAGAGAGCTTCACCGGTACCCCGCGCGACCCCAATTGACGTCGCAGCGCACGTGACTCGAAAGCGGGTGAAAGAGTTAAGGTGCCGAAAACCTCAATCTTTGTCGATTTTTCAAATAAAAACTAAGACATGCAGGCAAAAGCGTTTTTTTGTTCTTTACTTCAGAGAGGTCGAGACACCAGGTCCCAAATTATTTAAGCAAAGCACTGGAATTGCTGCACAGTTCCTTTATTTCAAGAATAACTTAATATAATCCGTTAATCTCTGTGAAATAAGTATGAATACAAACTTATATGTTACAACCGTTTTAGACGTCCAAGTTGCTTGTAATTCATGAACGACCTTTCACTGTATATGCGCATTGCGTGAGTGGTTCTCTCGTGAATTTGGAGGGATTTCTAGAACCATAATACGTAAGCTCGAGACTGAATGATGGGGATGTTATGTCGGTCTTAGAATAGCAACAGAAGTTTTCAAGAGGCTTGACAGTGAAACCGTGTTTAAAAAGTTTGTATTTCAATTAGGTGTATGTATTCAATGGCATGAAAATTTTCATTGCAAATGAAGATGCTGATTATGGACTGCATGTATTCCACGCTCGGATAGGCGAGTTGCATTTCATTGGTTTGAAGGGCAGGCACAATGTACTTGAAATGATTGCTGTCATAGGCCGCGAAATCAACACGTTGAATTTTCTGCATTGCTTCTTGCATCGCCGTTTGGAGCATCTGCCATTGGTGTTCCTTTAAGGCGGTAGCTTCAGGCTGCGCAAGTACGGCTGCGCTGTGCTCATTGAGGTAAGCTTTCACGCTGGACTGGAACTTGGAAAAAACCTCGAATGGGTTGAAGAACGGACTGTATGGCGGTAAGTAGTTCAAAGGGGTGCCCCTGGGCAAAGTGGTGTGTCGGTGTGCAGGAGTATCATCAAATATAATGAATGCATCTTGGCCAGGAGCTGTTGCCATGATTTCTCTCTAACTTCCACCAGGAATTCATTGGAAGTCAACCAGGACATGTTTTCTACACTCCTCTAAAAGAGGATCCCATCAGCAGACATGCATGCGAGGATGTTGATATTGGGCCCTCTGGTACGTGTAGTTCTCATGACGGCATCCTTCATAAATTTTTGGCCTCCCAAACCTCCGACTACACCAAATAATGAAGTTTGTCTTGTGAACGTAATATAGAAGTTGAAGCTGGCTGTCCCCCTGCAGCCCCGAAGCGCATTCTTTTCTTGCACTTTTTACGTCATCGTGATTTTGGTCAACGGGCTGCAGGGAAAGTTGCTTTGTTGTGTAACCACGTCCATCCAAAAGTCTCAATTGTAGATAGGCTGATAAGCTGATTTGGATACCTGGTCCAGTTGCTTCAAGCTCTTGCTTGAGCTGCTTCAGCGTGTAGGTCGGGTGTTCATCCACCATAGCTGCCAGATCCTGCTCAACATCGGAGTCGAATGTCTTCTTTGAGCCTCCTCTGGGTTTCGTTTCATCTATGTCAGTCTTCGCAATTGACCGAGAAGTTTTCACGTTAATTCTTAGCGTTTCAGCAAGCTGCTCAATGCTACTGCACCGTCGCCAGCAGTCAAGCAGCCGTGCCCGATCTTGATCGGATACTTTTTGGTAAAATTGTTTAGAAAGGTTTGAAACCTTCCGAGGTCAACCTCAACACCTTGCACTGAACAAACTCATTGCCAAGAGCGTTCACAAATGCGGGCGACTTGCGTGCAAATCGCTGAACCGCTCTTATCGTTTTATCTGCCTCTGTGACTTGAGAATCGACAGCCGTCTGCAACCAAGCGGGGGATGACAGGTTATCGTCTGCAACCACAGCATGGTGCAAGCATACCGCGAAGTGTTTGCAGACAACGCAAGAAGTGCTGCCTGATGGTTTCATTGACGGACGTCGTCTGCTATTCAATGGCGACTGTCTGCGAAAACTTCGCGGTATGTTTGAGCCAGGCCGCTGCTTCATCTACAGGCTTCTGCTGCTTTAAATCGCCCGCAAAAACTATGAGGTGGTTAT